GCCCGTGCTGCTCTAATGGCACAGCGCTGCCTCTCGACTCCCCTGCTGCACGGCCTGTCCTGCTACCCACACACACGAGTGTGGCCCTCCTCCCCACCGCACGTCTGCTGCACAGACGAGAAAAATAAAAAAAATACACAACATAAAATACAATAATAAAAACAAAAAAATTGTAACTAAGGAACACCCGTTTCCTGTTCAATGGCACAAGGCTCACGACGGCGCGCTGCACCAGTCCATGCATTACCCGCGCGGCGCCACCGGCGCCAGGCCCATGCAATGGAAATGGAGAGGCACTACGTTAGGCCGAGTGGCGGCCGCCACCGCGCCGCCGGCCGCCGCGTCGGGGAGCCGCGGTGAGATACAGGACACGATATACGGCGCGAGCAGCCTACTCTGTCCCGTGCATGTGCGGTTATTCTCCTCCGCTCTATCTCTGTCTCTCTCTCTGTCTCTCTCTCTCTCTCTCTCACACGCTCTCCACCCCTCCCCCTCTCACTCTCTCTTTCTCTACCCTACCGAGCGCGCTGAAGTAGGTGGCCTCCGCCCGCCGACTTTATGACAACTACCCCCCTATAAACATTCCCCCGTATCACCAAGCACACTTTGTCCTTTCTTTCTTATGTAATGAAACGATTAAAGTTCCGAATGAATAAACCCTCGCCTCCTCCAACCCATCAGTTCACTGTTGGGGGAGCAATTAATTGTCTCTCACAAAGCACAGCGCAGTAAAACAGTCAACTGTGCCTTTCTTGTTGAAACTACATGATTTTCAAGAGAGAAACGCAAAATCTTTATGATGTCTCACACTTGGAAACAGAACAATGTGCTTGCGCACGCAGAAAAATAAAATTCAGTTCAGTGCAAATCGGTTTAACAGCACAATTTTACACCCGTGCAAAAAATAATAGCTGGATGTAAAAATATTTAGCTGTAGAGCTAAGTGGCATTAGCTACACATGTAATTAACGGTGTGGTTTACTGGGTGGCTAAAAAATTAACCATCGTACTAAATAAATTAGCCGAGTCTATTTAGTTAATTTTAGCCCCAGTGCTAAAACTAAGCAGAACCATGGTCCATCGTGCACGATTTTTTTTCTGCGTGCGGCCACCACATGTTAAAATAAATGAAAACGCATGGAAAGAATGAAAAGCAATAAGACACACGTTTTACGATACTGTTAACATCAATCGGTAAGATTATTTGCATGGAAATATTTTCACCATTCCAAAACCTTTTGAAAATTGTAAGTTTACAACGTACTGATTAACATACCTTACAACGAACATAAAAGACATAACCTATTCATCAGTATATTTGCGCTAAAATGAGTGTGTTGTAGTGGAGATGGAGTGCAGTGCTTCCCCTGCTCGCCGCGCACACTTGTGTTCCCTAAGAATATGAGGTGGAAGGGGGTGCTTTATGTTGCTTATAAGGCCGGGGCTGCACACATCCATCTCGGACGCGTTGTATCGGAGTGCAGCCGCCAGGGCCGGGCGGGGCGTGGCTGGGCGGGGTCCGCCTGGGGCCCCTCCCTGGAGGGCTCGGGGGATCCGGGCGGGGGCGGCCCCAGACCAGATGGTCCCACACGGAGGCGGCCGCCGTCTGCAACGCAAGCTGTGTAGTGTAGTCGGCTGTGTGTTTGAAGTAAAGGGAGGGGTTTTGCGCGAGGGGCTGGGGGAGGGCAGGAGGGGGGGGGGTGTTCGAGTTTTATGTTGATTGCGTCCCGACCCAGACCCCCTTCCTCCTCGCCACCCGCACCCCTCACTACGCTTCACTTCGTCGCTCGCCGCGCTCCGTACCGGGCAGCAGCAACAGCAGCGGCAACGGCGGCAGCAGCAGCAGCAGCAGCAGCAGCAGCAGCAGCGCCAACGTGGCGCGCGCGCTGTCACTTTAACAAACCGTCAATTTCCCGGGCCGCGAGATAAGAAAAGCTCTGCATTCAATGCCCCCCGCCCGCTCCGCTCTGCTCCGCGACGCTCGGCGGCGCCCACAAGATATATGGCTGCAAAGTCGCGGCCCGGCCGGCCGATAATGCCCAAAGGCCTCTCCCGCCTCTCCGCGCCGCGCCGCGCCAGGGACATATTTCCCCGCAAAATTACGGCGGCGGCGGCGACGGCGACGAGAACTTTCGGCGCGCGCAGAATCACTGCACCTCACGACCCCCCTCCCCTCCTCCTCCTTCTCCTCCTCCTCAGAGAGAGAGCGAGGGAGGGAGGGGGGGAGGAGCGAGAGAGAGAGAGCTGGACAACGACGCCGCCCCCGCTGTAAAAATATTCGCGAGTCGTTGGCGAGATAGAAAGGCGGCGCCTAGGCTTGTTTGCCCGGCCCCTGGGGGGTGTGTTTGGTTTGGTACAAGATTGTAGGAGTAGTGCACCAGCCTCTCCAGCAACCTCTCCCCCCCCCCCTTCTCGATCTCAGTTTGCTCGTCCCAATATGGCGACTGCACGCTGCTGGGTCAATGTCAAACGCGGTTGGCGAAAAGAACCGGTTCTATTTCATTCCACGGAAAGAGGTATATCGAAAACGAAAACAAATTAACAAAAATAATAAAAACTTTGTGATTATGCACTCTGGGCTCACCTTGGTGTAGACGCCGGCGCTGCTCAGCTCGTTCTCGATGACCATGATGATGATGCCGAACATGCCCATGACCAGAGCGTAGTCGCTGATCCTTTTCCGCTTCTCGAACAGCGCCTTCCGCCGCCCCAGACGGTACCCCACGTTGGGCTTGTGCTTGCCGCCGCTCTCTGCACCTGCAAGCGTACAGGGATCAGGACTCGCAGGGGAAGCACGGCCGCACCCTAGGGGCCGCCGCAGCTAAGTAAAAACTCATTTCATTGCAAACAGTTAGCAAATGTCTCTGTACAATGATGTTTTGTGCAAATTTTAAGCGTGATGATTGCGCACTCTATTTTATTCTTTTTAATTTCGGCGCTACAGTGACACTGGACTTTTCTATGAACAAGATTTGTAGAAAAAGTAAAGTGAAAGTTGAGGTAAAGTTACCAGAAATTCCTTATCAAAATTCGTGAACATTGTTTAACGAAATACATTTAAGAAGTTGGTCAAAATTTATTTCGAAAATACCATGCGACCCTATTCTTGTTTGCCGATGTATTGCCGGTCGTGCTAGTCACGTTGGAAGAACCTCCCTCCCCGTCGCTCGAGCGGGCACAGCTGGAGCGGATCCCGGGCGCCAAGGTGATGAGCTTGAATTTCACTCCCGGCCAACCTACACAATTTTCTCGTGTTTGAGCACAAGACGGCGAAAAATTGCCGCTCCTCGTCACTGTCTCCATCGTTTTCCTCTCGCTGTCTGCACCCTCCATCCTTCCCCGTACCACATGTCCGCCCTATATACCCGCCCAGCCCTCTTTCCCCCCCATTTCTTCTCCTCCCCGACTGACCTGTAAGTCCGCTTTTCTTTCTCCAAGCTCTCGTCCGACCCGTCCGCGAGTGAGCCCTCTTACTCCCCCAGTAGTCCGACCGTCTGTAGTCCGTCTGTTTGTCCGCTGCTCGGCGGTGCTCATATCATTCATGGCTCTCCCGACCCCGCGCCTCGAGAGGCTCTCCCCTGCCCGCACTCCAGTGTCCCCCCCCCTCCCCAACAAGCACTCCTCCCACCGCCCCTCATGAGCCACTCGGTGTCCACGGCATCCGTTTGTCCTGCAATATATATGGGGCAATCGAGGCTCCTCACATGCAACAGGCCGATTATCGTTAAAAAAAAAACAACAACTTGACACGCTATGCGTCTCCTACAACCTACAACGTCTACTAAATGTAAACGGGGGGATCGGTCACACTCACCCGTGGAGCCGAGGGAGCCCTGCATCTTGATGAGCCCGCCGCCCAGCGCCCGCTCCTCCGTGTAGCGCGGGTAGTCCGAGTGCACGCCCACCAGTGCCAGCCCCGCCTCCCCCTCGCCCTCCTTCATGGCGCCGGGGATGGACAGTGTAGACACCGGTTTGCGTAGCTGCAAAAAAACGAACAGTACCAAGTCAATACAATGCAATCAATACTCTCTCTTTCCGCCCCTCCTTCATCCTTCACACTGTGAAACATAGTCAAGGTTTACGAGAAAATTTTCATTGATTTGAAATTGCAATTTGCAATTGTACAAGAACGTCGTATCGACTTGATCGACAAGCAAGAATGGGCTGTCGCAAATTTACAGTAAGTTAAAAGCAATTTACACCGTAAAATGTTGTAAATTTACGAGGATTTTCTTCACAGTGCATGGCACCGGGGATGGACAATGCAGACACACCGGTTTTCGTAGCTGCAACGACAACAAACAACTCCAAGTCAATACAATGCAATACTCTCTCTCTCTTTCTGCCAAAGAATACGACAGAGTGCCGCAAGGGCGAAGCTGGCAATCGGCGAAACAACACTCGGGCTGCCAGCCCCGGCCAGCCCTGGCCTGGCAGCAGTGCAGCGTTGACTCAGTGCAGATGAACCGTTGGCAGCGTCGGCACGTCCGTCACGTCGGCCGCGCTGCAGCATCACAAGAGCGGCAGGAAGAGGGGCGGGAGGGGAAGGGGAGAATTCCTGCTGCAAAGGCTCTCCTTCCTGCTCAGAGGTGCGCGCCAGCGCTGGCAAAGCAAGCAGAGTGCAAGCCAAGCTAGCCGGCAGCCAGAGCGTCTCGCCGGCTGGGGATCGCTGCAGTCGATATAATCCGATAACTAATTTGGACTGCTCCAACACCAACAAGGGAGTGGGAGTGGGAGGGGGGGGGGGTCGAGAGCGAAACACGATTACCTCTCCGCTTCTCCGGCGCACGCTCCAGAGAGAGAGAGGGAGAGAGGCACTCCAGGGCGATGGGCGGAGGAGACGAGCGCGCGGGGCGGGGGCTATCCCGAGCGAGCAGGACCCGCGCTCGCCACATCGAGGGCGCGCCGCCAGCACCAGCACAGACGAGGAGGAAAAGAAGTCGTCGTCGGCGCTCCCGGCCCGGCCCTCTAGAGCCCCGCTTCCGCCCGCGCCGGCAGAATAACGAATAACGTTCATATTCATTGCAGCCGCACTAATAGGCGCCCTTTGCATGGGGGGCCCTCGACCCGTCCCCACGCCCGCGCCCCCCCCTCGCCTCCTCTTCACCGCCCCCACACCCGCCCCCCTCGCCTCTTCACCACCCCGAGCGCCAGAGGCCCGCCGGGCCTGGAGCTCTTCAGCGACCTCAACCCTTCTCCCTCCCTCCCTCCTCCTCCTCTCTCATCCCTATACCACTGCTGCCGCTGCGCCATCCCTGTGTAGGATTCCCTTCCCAGACTGATCCCTTGTGGGGCGCACGGGTGGCAGGCCAGGTGGGCGGGGCCGCGTCCCACGCGGGGCGGGGGACCCCCAGAGAGTTATTGCCGAGACAGGCTGAGCCCGAGGGGAGGGGGCTACAAAGAGGCCCATTGCCACTCACACACAAGTTTAGCAAAAATCCATCAAACTGATCGGAAACAAACGCGTGACTGACTACGGGGTGCCCCATTTAAACGTTTGCTAGCGGGTTGCACCCACCAGCATCATGGAGGACGTAAATATAAAACAAACGGTTACTGACTTGTTTGAAAAATGTATCGTTTTCGCATTCCCTAGCTCTGGGTGCTCTCCACGGTTCCCGGACTGGGCGGAGCGCTGCTGCTGCGCCAGGGTATATCGGTCTGTTGTTCTCTCTGAGCTGGCCAGCGAAATCACAAATGCTTCAGTATAAATAATCTCGGCATCCGAATCGCCAAGCAGCGGCGCCGGGGAGAGAGGGTCAGAGAGGAAAGAGAGAGAG